GCGGAAAGAGGGATGAAAAAAGGGATAGAACACAGGGGAAAAGTTGGAAAGGGATAGAGTGAGATAAAACAGAAAGAACGAGGGAGAGACAGTGAGAAGAGGAAGATAGAGAGAAAACGGGAGGAAGAGAGCGGGGATTAGATCTCAGGGTGAGTGGGTAGGATTGGATTTGGCAGAGGCGGCTCGTTGGTGGTAGAAGGTGCAGCAACGAGAGGAAAGGAGGTGGAAAGGGGAGGCAGAGACTTTGGTTGGTGTCCGAGTGGTGGTGGGGTTGCAGATGGGAAACGCACTGAACGAGGGAGAGCGGCAGAGAAGGAGAGATGTAAGTGACAGAATATAGGTGGTGGTGTAGGTGAACTGGACAACCACCAGAAACTCTCTCGCCAGTATTTAAGGGAGAGTCGCGAGCGTAGCGCGCCAGTTACTACGGCCGATTGCCTCCACGAGGTGTCCTCGACCGAAGAGAGAACACGGAGACAACGTGCAACCGGATCACACACACACGCCGGTGTGCGAAGGAAAAGGGCGCGAAAACCCCTGGCCACGTGGCACGATTTTCGCGAGATAATTTTCACCAATTTTCCGCATTCGCTATATTTCCTTCTTTTTCTTTTTTTCTTCTTCTCGAGACTTAAGTATATTCAGTGATAACAAGTTTCTCTTCGTGGAGAGATTTTCCGAGAATTCTTTTTTTCTATATTCGAGAGATAATAGTAGACGTGATAATTGTCGAGGAGAAAGTGCGATCGGAAAGAAGTGTATTTTATTTTGAATATGAACGAATGGATGATCTTTGAGGAAGTTCGCCGCGGTTCACGGAAGTGCACGATTTATGGAAGAGTTTGAACCGCTGTGCCGAGGACACTTTCGATCGTTCACTCGTGGACCGTGCAGATGAGTGTATCAAGGTACGATACAGTATTTAGACGCTTCTTTCTTTTTTTCCTCTATCTAGAAACACATTTTATCTTTTTGATTGTTCGAAAAATTTTGCCGAATTAAAGAGAATTTTTCAACGTTTCTTTTTATAGCACGGACATTTTAGAAAGTTTGCGATTCATCGTCGATTAAATTAGCAGAAAAACATTCGATCGCGAGAAAGATCCGGTTGAAAGTGACGATGTAAATTACGCGTTCCCTCTTATCGTCGTAATTCCTCTGAATTACACGAACGCCGCCGATAACGTTTATTCGCAAAAAATTCCACGAAAGCGATTGAATGTATGCAAAAAAATACTATTTTTAGAGCGTGATTACTCTCTTTGGTTTTTTAAACATCTAACTAACACACATCACGTGTATCAATGTTCTATTTTTAATACTAGAAGAAACAAAACGTCGAATTCCAGGAATTCGAAAACATTGTTACTCTAAACATACGTGGTTTCTATTTTATCGTTCGTTCTTTCTTTCGTGTTTACGATCGCTTGTGAAACACGTTTTAGAAAGTATTGCAGACAGTATTAAGAATTTTTTTGCCGATTTTTGTTTTTTTTTGTTTTTTAAAGAAATAACAAACAGTTGTGGAACATATAGCTTTGCAGATATCATACGTGCTAATTACGTAAGAGCCGAGGGTACAGAGGCGCGGCTTCTTTTTATCTTCGCGATGAAAAGAAGATGATTAAGCGGCCGATGGCAAAGTGCCAAAACAGTTCTCCGCGAAACGACGAAAAGAAAACGACAGGATCGCGGGCGGTATCGGTGAGCTCGCTTGTCAAAGCCACGGCGTGGCTTTAATTTCTTTAAATCGGACAGCGGAACGCCAGGAATTGATACCTCCGTTACACCGTTCATCGATCCGGCCAAAAACTCGCTTTACAACTTGTCTGTTATTGAATTTGATAATTAAAATACGATTTGCGGATGTACAGAGAGGAACTTCTTCCTTTGAATAGGTTTATCGGAGAATCTAGTTATTTACTAATCAATTTTTGCTTGACTCGATATAATACAATTGTAGAAAGTCTTCTTTAACTTGTTCTCCGAAGAACGACCGATATTTCAAATATTAATTTACCACAATTTATCG